CAGGTACGCGGCTTTGCGGCGCCGCAGCACCAGCGGGCTGCCAGACTACCGGGCTCCCCGGTCCCCTGAGCCCCCGCCCTCCCCGCGTAGCGCGGACCTGGACTCCAGCTTTCTGGAGGAAACTGCTTCTCCATCGTCCCCTCTGCGACTGGAGGACTCGCCGCTAGCCAGGCGGGACTCGCAGAGCTCGCAATCGGATGACCCAACCGGCAGCAATAAGGGCTACGCCCCCCTGCGGGAAACCGGCACCTCCATGGAGTCTGTCGAGGACACTGGAGCCAGTCAGAGGCCAGACTGTGAGGCCGCCACCGCCTTGGGAGAGGAGCGGAGCTCCCCGGAGCGTCCCAGCCAGGAGCTGCCCAATATCGAGCAGCCCGGACCAGTGCAGAGGCAGTTTACAAACAAGGAGAAACTCTTCATGATTTCTAGGTCTCATGCCACGGGGTCAGAAGACGGAGAACTGGAAAGCACTGGCGTTTAGGAGGAAAAGGAGAAATGGGAGAGTGATCCACTTGAATCAGTGCATTCAACAGTTCCCTATTTCCTAGTGGACTGACCCGAGAAAATCATTCAAAATCCAAAGAGCTGCAGAATGTTATCCTTGAATTGCATTCACAAGATTCCTGTAGATAACTCCAAGCAATTTTTTTTTAAAAGAGCAAAATAGTCTTTTTATGTCCGATGGTGATTGTATGTTCCATGAAAACCAAATGTATTAAAAGGTCAGCAAAATTTTATTCACTAGATAAAATTCTCCGAATTTTCTTAGGATGAATATAATATATTTTTGACAGTAACTGTGCACTTTACCCCAACTTTTTTTTTTATCCCTAATTTCCTTAATCCCTGTACCCACTCTGCCTCTGGCTTTGTCCATAGCTGCTTGTGAACGACAAGCTTTTTTCCTCCTCCCTTTGTGGAGCACAGAAGGGTTTATCTCAGTTCTCTTAGAATTGATCTTACTAAATGATCTCAAAGCCAAAAGCCTAAGTCAAGAAAGAGCTCTTTGCTTGTCGCATCCTACATACTCATCCAACTGTCCAAGGTCTCTATTTTTTTAAAGGGTTTGTGCATTTTGCTACTAAGGTAGGTTGTGGAGATGGGAGGGAGCCAGGAAGTAGAGGGACTGTTACATTCTTAAATTCACAGTGTCAAAGTACACCATGCTTTATTGAGTATTACCACAGCTGTATTGAAAATTCCATTAATATTTAAAAATCTTTTTTAATAAAAAAAGCTTCCAAAAAGTTAAACACAATATCGTCTCATTTTGCCTTGAAACAAATGTTTCTAAAACACACTAAACAGTTAATAGCTCATCCTGTAAATCTAATATTTTGCTATGACACTACTACTATGACCATTGGGTTTCCCCAAAGCTCTCAGCTCTTATCACCACTCAATCAATTTCCAATATACTGTGAACTTAGCATTTCTAGAGTAGCATTTAACATTTGGAGGTTTCTTTTTGGAGTAGAATACAATCTTAAATAAATACTAATTCTTCATAATCTAGATTACCTCAAAGCACAAGGGAACTTCAAAAGTTTCATGGAAAAAATGTAGTTAAAGGAACAGTTTATTTTGATATCAAAGAATTTGAAATCCACATGTAATTTTTTCATAATATGCATCTTCTGTGAGCTTTCCAAAGACCTCCTAATTGATTTTCAGAGCACCACGTTTAATATTCCCTTCTTATCCTCTTGGAGTTTACTATTTAGTTTTGATTTTAAATTCATGATCTTGAGTCCATGGCCTACATAGGCACAAAGGTAATGTTTTAATAATTTAGAAGATTGTTTACACTTGATATGGTTAAAGGTTAATTAATTAATTTTCGAAACAGCAATTTACAATCGTGATACCTCTTTCTTTGACTGATGGAAAACCTTTGGAGCAGTATTACTTTCTTTTGGTCATTCTGATACAGGTTCTTAGGTTTCATGTGGTTGAGGCTATGTTTGCAGGAGATAAACAATAATGATTTTAAGAGAAAACCAGAGAAAGAGGTGGTCACGTGGGCTCCTGTGGGTAAAATATCTGGTCTATCTAAGAGAGTGCAGATTCAGAACTAAGGCCTGACCACAGCTCTGGGCATTTGCTAGTAGCATAGCCTTGAACAGTCTCAGTCATCTGATCTGTAAAATAAAGACATACCCCATAGAGTTCTGAGGGAATAGAGCAGGGGAGTGGATAAGAAATGGAGTTGTATGTACAGAGCCTAGCAGAGTACTTGACCCAGAGTATGGATTCAATAGATGGTGCTTACTGTAATTATTGTTACCATTATAATATGTTGTTTAAATGGACACTATATAAGAAGAGGCCTTCTGGGACCAGCAGTTAGCAGAATGGCTATGTCACTGGACTCTCATGTAGTTGACCATGGTTCGAGTCCCCGGGCGCATGTGTATGTGTACCCAAGATTCCGAGAAAAGAATGAAGGAGAAGGGACTGTGGCATAGCCATCCCCCCTAGGGGGTAATTTCTCGCTTTCTATCTCTCTGTTTCTCTCTTTCTGGTGAGCACACGCGACCTATAGCAAAAACCTCTCAAAAAAAAAAAAAAAAGGAATGGGCCTTCCTATGGAGTGAGTTTAAGAAAGCCTAGGCTGAAATTGGAATATCCTCTTATTATCTGCATAACCTTAGACAAATCATTTAATCCCTCTGAGCCTCTCGTGGATGATATAATCTCTATAATCCCTTTCAGCTCTAAAAGCTTCACTTAAATTCAGGGTATTGGTTTTGTCCTGGATATAATCGTATCATACTTGTACACACAACTTGCCAAAAAGTAATATACTTCATAAACTACTACTAGGGTAACATTCTGTAATACACTGAAGAAGGGCCTAATTAATTTGCAGATTGGACCTGCATTAATCTAATAACTCACTTTAAGACTATGGATTATTTTACTGAGCTCTTCTACATAGCAAAAGTGAATTTCCACTAATAAGTGTGACAAACAAGTGTAATGAGACTAGTCTCATTCAGTAGTCTCAATTGCTGTATGACACTTCCTCCTCCCTCAAATGTCAAATTTCCTTAGATTTTCTTTTCTATTAACTTGTGTACTAGGTAATTTATATACAGAGAGAATTTGTTATTTAAAAAGAAAAACATTCTGGTTCTCTACAAGGCAGTGTCTAGGCCTGGAAAATGCACTGTATGATATTTAGCAAATAGCAGAACCATTGCTTCTTAGTTTACCTAAAGAAGGGTAGACAAAATAATTTTAGCCCTTATAAACTTTAGAAAATTCCGCCTAAGCAACTGACTAGACTGAATGAAACTAATTACCTAGATAGATAAGATTAAATAGAAATTTCTAGCTGATGTTGATTTCATACATATGGGCCTTCTGAAATTCAATAATTTCAGCACACTTAGTTTAGTATTTTTTCATAAATATTTTAACCCTTGAGAACTGGATTCTTTTTTTCCCCTGACAATTTAAAAAAAAAAAAAAAGGATAAACTTAATGTTTTGGATTTTCAGAGGAAGCTGGGATTTCCTCAGAATTCAGAGGGAATCCTCTGCTCTTAAGACCATAGTAATTCACCATCTTAACTTTAGTAGGAGGAGAAGTCTTCTGCAACAATAATGCTAATTTTCATTCATTGTGTCTACTGTGGACCAAGTATATTTTATCTCAATTCATCCTCACAGCAACTCCATTAAAGTAAGATCATTATTACCCCTGGCTTTACATGGAGTACACACCCAGGGTTACACAGATAGTGAATGGGAGAGCCAGAATTTATACAGAGTTTTGAGGATTATATGGGCCTGTTGGAAGATGCTGAGCTGAAACTGGCATTTCTGGAATCCATCAAAATATTTCCTACTTTCTTAGCTTTCTCTTAGATCTAGATCCTTTTCCAAACCAGAGAACTGTTAGAATGCAGATAACAAGCGAGACTTCATGTGTAAGTCTTCAGACAAGCATAAACAAAATTTTCCCCAAGTGACTTTGTAGGAGCTTTTGTATTCAATCAATAGAAGTATTTGAAGGGAACTTAAAGATCATGGAATTTCCTCATCTTTCATTTATAAACGAAGTTGCTTAGATTTGGATAGAACAATTTGTTCAGAAGCAAACAGCAGGGACAAGACTAGAATGTTAAAGTAATTGCAATGATTGGCATGACATCCCCCTGGCCCCCACTCTGAATTTCTATCATGTACTAGCTGGGTGACCATGGGCAAGCGATTTTGCCTGTCGTGTCTCAATTTCCTTTTCCATCAACAGGATGATAGTAATTCCTATCTCGCAGACTACAATGGACTAAACTAGTGTGTGTGTAAAGTGCTTATAACAAGCTTGACACATAGAGTATTGTGAAAGTTTTACTTAAAATCAAATCACCTGCTAAACAGAATAATTTCAAATGGCCTTCTTTTTTTTTTTAATCAATATAGGTTGAGTTCCCCTTATCCAAAATGTGTGGGACCTGAAATATTTTGAATTTTAACATATTTGCATATACATAATAATTTGACTATGGGAACAAAGTCTAAACAGGAAATTCATTTATGTTTTAAATATGCCTTCCACAAATACCCGAAGGTAATTCTATGCCATATTTTTGTGTGGCACTGTTTCAACTACAACTCATCACATGAGGCCACATGTGTAATTTTCCACTTATGGGGTCATGCCAAAACTCAAAAGTGTTTGATTTTGGAATATTTTGGATTTCAGATTTTCTGGTTGGGGATACTCAACCTGTGGAATCATATTATGTTTAAAAATCTAAAGTGTAAGTCAACATACCACAGTAGGTCAGAGTGTGACTTCAAGAGATTACAGATTCATAACACTGTAGTTGAGTTTCCACATCTATTAAATGGATATAATAAATACCATTGGACTCATATAGTTAGTTATCTATATGAGGGCTAAATAAACTAATATACTTAAAGGACTTAGAACAATTCCTGGCACACACAGAAAAAATAGCAAACATTCACTTATATCAGTAAGTGAAAATGCAAAAAAGTGATTAGGAACCTAAATTTACTATTCGGTTGTTAAGTACAGGCAGAAACTTTCTGTACTGAAACATCTTTGTAATTTATATATATCAGGGAAAAAAAGCCTTAAAAAATGAGGAGTTAGGCTGCTGTAATGCTCCAACAGGAAGTGCAACTTCCAGTTAGCTGGAGAGATGTTCCTCCTGGCTACATGATCATATTGTTCAGCGATGAAGGGATTACACACTGGCTACTTGGCTGTATTTAATCATGATTATTCCATTTCCATTTATTGAGACTGGTCACATTAGAAAGGCCAGGCAAACCCCTGAGATCCTGCCCTGCCTGTCAGAAAGTTCCAAAGTAAAGATCAGATGCTCTATTGATTCACTTAAATTGTCTAGACAAAAGGTTTTGCTTAGTCTTTTTGGGTTCCTTTAAAGATACAGCTTTGAATTTTTTTTTTTTTTTAACTTAGAGATCTTAAACTGCCCTCCTCAGAATAAATTAAGTACAAACTTAAGTACATGAATTTGTGTTTTGATTAGAATAGTATTTTTGTCAATCTATTAAAGTATATTTTATAGTCAAGCTGTTTATAAATAAGATCTTGTAATAAGGGATGCAGTTTAGGGTGATATTTTCCTCGTTCATAAAAAATAACAAATAGGATTGGTATTTATGGAGTTTGCTATAGAGCCAGACGATTTTGTTTTAACTTTTTTTGGTCAGGGGTCGGGGAGAGGGGCTCAAATCCACTGGGTGAATATTTAGACTGAGTTTTGGATGACTAACTGTGGAAAGCATTCTAAGCCTCTTTTTTTGTTTTTTTTTCTTTCCAGGGAAATCATCTTTGAGGGTTTTTTTCCTTCCAAAAGGAATGAGTTTCTTTAAATGAATATGAAAATTCTATGTGTTTTCTATGACGCCACTAGAAGTTGGGGGTCCAACTTTAGACAAACTACCTGCTGCTTTCCAAAGACCTGAGGAGCTGCTTGTTTTCTGTGTGCTGTCTGTTTGTCTATGAAGTCAGAAAAGCTCTGGACTGCTGTAGGGCCCAGGTGGGCTTGAACTGCAGTAGGAGTTATCACTATTCTATCTTAGGATTTAGCCTTCACTCCAGAGTCAGAAGTGGTTAGCATTTCAAGCATCTAAAAATGTATAGTCATTCAAGTTTAAAGGGGCTCTCCACCCATAACCCTTTAGTAAAGTGTGATGTGGCTCTTCAGGACACAAGGCATTTAGCCTTAGCATTACTAAGAC